GTGCAGGTCACAGTGGTACCGGCGTGCGTCAGACGGGCCCGTGTTCGGTGCCCTGAGGTGTCGGTTGTCAGGCCCGGGGGCCGCCCGTCCATGTTCAGGTCACAGTGGTACCGGCAGTGCGTCAGACGGGCCCGTGTTCGGTGCCCTGAGGTGTCGGTTGTCAGCCCGGGGGCCGCCCGTCCATGTTCAGGTCACAGTGGTACCGGCGTGCGTCAGACGGGCCCGTGTTCGGTGCGCTGAGGTGTCAGCCCCGGGGCCGCCCGTCCGTGTGCAGGTCACTGTGTTACCGGTGGCTTAAGTCGCTCCGGGCACGGGCCATTGCGGTACCGGTCCGGTCCGGTGCTGCGGGGCCAAACAGTCTTGTAACCATGCAGGTTACCACAGTACCGGCCCTGGGTCAAACAGTCTTGTAACCATGCAGGTTACCACAGTACCGGCCCTGGGTCAAACAGTCTTGTAACCATGCATGTTGCCACAGTACCGGCCCTGGGTCAAACAGGCCTGTGTAAGTGTATGCGTCGCTGTGTACCCGTGCGTGTACGTGGGTCACACAGGTGTGTGTACAGGCCACTTTGGTACCGGGCTCGGGCCACATCGATTATGTGCGGCCCACAGCGATCTGAGTTAAGGTGGTCCGTATATTACGTACACTGTGGTTAGCGATGTTGGCTAGGTAGGCCATGATAATGGCCTGAGTTTAAATGACAGAAACATGCCATAATGTAGAGAGGCTCAGAGGGAACTGAAAGCACCGATTCCAAAATCAGTAACGCTGTCACGGCTCACTCCCATGCCAAGCTGACGCGGTCTGTGAATTCCAAAGGCACGTGGTGAATATGTGATGGCTGTGCTAAGCAGCCTCGCCTTTGGCTCGTTTCTGTCTAAATAGGACAGCCGTTCGGATACGCGACTCCACCCCGGACGGCAAACATCGGGACATTGAGGCCTAGCAAATAACATGACGCTCGCTCAAACGGTAGACTGTTGGGCGAGTCGGTGCCTGGACTAATCATACTGAAGAAGACCTTGAAGCTTTCCGCAACTCTTTGGAGTGTTTCGGACGTTTCGGGACTGTAAACCCTATGCAAATCTCACCCACCGAGTCCAATGCCGATTGGCAATATTGGAGTCCGTTGGGGGTGATGGTCTGCTGGATACGTCACGCCATTGGCGTTTTCGGTGGCACTGGGTGGATATCGTGCGGCGACCTGAGCTTATCCCAGCACTCTCGTTCGCCATGGGTTCATGGGACGAACATAACCGTCGTTAGGACGACCTGAAGATTGATTGTTTCGTTTACACCTCGTCTAAAAACTCAAGTGTTTTTCCCAGCCCTCTAAAACATGTCGATTTGCGGGACTATTTAGGTACCGAGATATCCCTGGCCTGATCTGACCCTTAGCCTTGTCAGAAATAGTTTTTACTGCTGTCTTTACAATGTATTGCACGGCGTGTATTTTTGGACTATATTTCAAAATAAATTTTATCTTGGTTGGCGCGAATAGGTCGTTGACACGGGTCCAGCGGTCGCCCGTGCCGACCCATTAGCGGTGTCCATGGTTTCATTCCTTGGCCTGTGATCTACAACGCAGCAAAGATGTCCCATATCGTCATTAGAGGTCCTATGATCTCTTCAACTTTCGCTATTCGCCTCGAGCAGTCATGTTATATGTGGGTGCGTTCGGCCTATCCTGCCGTGCACCAGTGCAGGCAAAGAACTGGCTAGCATCGAGCAGTCCACTTGACAAAATCTGTATTGATGAGGAGAAACGTAAAATTCTTGACCATCTCGAGATTCTGAAACTTAACGGAGACTGCCTGACTGTTTAGGATACCTCAGGATGAAGTGACACGCCCTCTGCTGCTTTATTTCACAATCCGCTGGAGGTCCAGATCCAGGAAAGCTTTTTAGTTAGTTTGTGTCCGTTTCCCAGCATTTCCCCCTTGGATGTTGTGGGTTTTATGGCATTATTACCTGCACAGCAATTCCTTCTTTGTTTGCATTGTCATGCTTAAAACGTTGAAAATTAGGTTTATTTTCCGTCGTTTCCGTATCATACCCGGGACTAAGACGTGTCAGCGCTTACTTGAATGGCCAGCCCTGAACAAGGCCTGATCAAGTCATCATTGCCACGCACTAGCATACATGCATTGCGAACGAAGCCGCGTGCAAAGCGAGTATGACCGTCAAGTAACGGAGATCTAGCATCCTCAGAGACCCGGCCGGGCCAGTCACGCTATTAACGGGCTTCCTACGTCTTAGCAACAGCTGATAGCACCATCGTGAATTCTCACCTAAAAGCAGCACCGCTCTTTAACATGCGCCCGGGCGACCGGTTGGATGTCCTCCGTTCGGGCGGGGAAGTCAATGTGACCCCGCTGAGATATCAGGAACTAAGAGAGATAGAGACGCTAAATTCACAGTGTGTCTTGATCTTTACGTGAACTCACTTAGGTCAAAGTTTGAGGTTCCTAAGCCGTGACATTTTGGTCAAATAAGGTCAAACAAGGACAAACTCCAAGCTGGTCTCCAAAGTGCCCTCAGCACCTAGATATCTGTTCTAAGTAAGAGGTTGCATTTTCATTGAACATCGGTGACCTTGTTTGACCTTTCAAAGGTCAAGGTCACCAAAATCATCCTAAACTGTTTTCAGTTTTGCATCCGAATAAGCGACAAAGATCGCGCTAGGCAGTATGTTCTTAAGAGCGAAATATTGACCCCGGCCATTTTAGGTAAGTGACCTATTCTGACCCTTAAGAATTCCATGGAAGATGTCTAATGAAGTTCTTGTTATCAGTAAACTCAAAATGAGCACCATAAACTACCTCATACAGCAAGCCCTAGAGTAATAAAACAGGTTGTTTTTGACCTTAGTCTGACCTTCATACCTGAACCTGGTTCAATGGAATTTGATCATTCAGTTGTTGTGTTGCCTAAGAAGGTATCTCAGAGATGTATGGCCTCGTTTAGCACTCCTTTGTTGCAGTCAGGTTGAACGATTCCCTAAAAACTGACTTCGCTGCATGCCTGGCCTGACTGACGTGCCGTAGCTCAGCGACCTTTCAAGGAACAATTAATTTGTGGATACCAAGCGATCCGCTTTTCCATTGTTCACAGCTATCAAAATTTGGCACGGCCACGCCACGCTGTTCGGAAACCATTCTGTCTTCGGGGGGGGGGGGGGGGAGCTTCCCACCCGAGCGCGTGTTAAAACTTGTGCAACAATGCTTTCGAGGCATTCAAATGCAAGCTTTTTGTTTTGGCCGTGACTTTCTGCAACGTGGCATTATTCTAACTGTTTCATCTCTCCGTTCGATCAACATGGAAAACGTAAATAGCCACGCTTGTCTCCGAACACCACCACCCCGCAGATAATTTTGGTTATTCGGAAACTGTCTGCCAAAACACATTGTACCATGCCCAGCAATGCAGTGGAAGCACCTGGCAGAAAATCTCCGGGTTCGGTCTGGTATTCCTGGCCAGTTGCCATCCCGTCTTCGAGAACAAGCCAACAACGTATCGGGACCTAAATGCCTCCCGCACCTTAGACAGAATGTTCCCGGTCCCCTACCAACTGAATGAAATCGATAGCACATGTGGTAGGCTCAAAATTTGTTTCCCTACATAAATCTTAGTAATCCAAACTGCCTTGAAAAATGTTGTCTAAAAAACCAGCAGCATTTGGACCGCTCATTTCACTCACCGTTTATCCTTTTCAAACCGAAGCCAAGAATGCATGTCAAAGAACGCACATCTCTCTGCACCAGCAACACACAAAACAGCAGACTTACACCAACGAACCTTTCTAACGTAGTGCCAATGGTATCCGGACGGTAACGTGAAGCTAATGCAGCAACGTAACACGTAACACCAGATTTCAAACCAGTCGTCGTATTGACGAGGTATTCAACAAAATCGTGGTGCGGATCGTTTTAATAGATGCAAGTTTAGAGCAATTTGCATAATCTTGCAATATATTTGACAAGCATAATTACTTGACTATTATCCAATCTATCATCACGCTGATGAACTGCAGCCATGCAGTGTGTTGGCTCCAGCAGGTTGTAACCAATGGTTAGGGCGACCAGACTTTTTGAAAAGCAGTATCTTTGATGCCGCATGAGACCGGTAGTGTTTACCCAGAAACACCGGATTAGTGTCATGCTATCGTGTCATCATCATTGTCATCATGAGTTACGGAAAAGGCGTGCAACATTCATCGCAAGTAGGCAAGCATGTTCGAGATGCTATAAGATGGTAGATGGCAATCCAGAAATGATTTCGGGTCTCGCCGTTAAAACTATCCCTCTGCTAAAGCAAGAGCACCGTCTATTGTGTCCATTTTTGATGTAACATGCTTTTGGTGCTAGTCATAATGCAAAATCGCAGTCCCCGATAGCAAAGGTTCCTTTTCTCATGTCTGGCTTAACTGCCCGAATCTGTAAGTGCTGTAAGTGCTGGTCGGGTCAGAGATGGTACGCTTCCGTGGGATGGCCGCGGTCGTGACACATTTTGTATTAGTGCTGAGCCCGGTCCACTGCCCCACCACTCAGCGTAGAGCCAGCTGCGGGTCAGGTCGGCCATAGTCCGTTCGTTCCCAGTTGTCTTCAGTTGTCTGCACATAAGCCGTACATGCGATGACCTCGGCAGTTTATGTGCGCGTCCGCACGCGCTCTTCCCCTCCACTATGGAGTGTCGAGTCCGGGAGACCACGGCCGCCATGTGTTCAGTGACGACTCAGCGTGGTGGATGGCCGACTACTTCGGGAGGTGAACGGACGGAGTTTCGAGCCCGGGGCTACACGCGCAGAGGCGCCGCCAGGTACGTGATCCTTGGAGGCGCTGGATCCACAACCGAGGGAATCAAAAACCAGTGTCACGAAGCAATGAGCGGCATAGTTGCTCGGGCTGAAGCTTACAGTCCACTCCGGCCGCCTGGGAATGCCTCTGGTGGCCGGCCCGCGCGCTCGGGCGTAATATTGGCCTAGGCCTGTCGAGGGGTAGCGGGCGTGGTGCGGTACAGTGGGAAAAACATCGGCGGCATCAGCTCACCCAGGTACCGGAGATGCCCTGTGCTGTCAGCCAACCTGATGGAAAGCTGTTCTTCTGTGTCTGCAGCATGACGAAGGTTAGTGCGGCACCTTGACGTGCTTCCTCACAAGGTTGCTGCAGGTAAGGGCTCGCGGCGGGGTGTGTTGCGTTTTACTTGGATTGCTATATGATTAGCGTAGTTACTATCACTCGCAACGAAAACCGTATATCCCATGTTTGAAACCGACCACCTCTCCGCCGTGAGAGAGGTAGTTCGGTGAAGTTTCGCCAGTTGGCAGTCGGTCCAATAAATCGGAACTGCAACTTAATTTGTTTAAAAACCGTACCTTGTGAGCAGCTGCATCGGAAGCTGCTTAGCTTAAGCGGTACATTTGATTCATTTGTCATTGACTTATACAAGTGAAACTAAAACTTATGCCATGCTTGAATGGCATGGTCAAGCATACGGGCTGAACACGTGGAAGCCGAAACCAAGGCGGTGGCATGTACTTAACCATGTGGAGACAAAACCGTGCTGAACTCGGGGCTCGTTCAAAACTATATGAAGTCCGTTTCTGGAATATTTACTTCGTTTTATGCACATAAATAGGATAAATACTAATGGGAATCACTGTATGTTACGGTTAAACTTGTTTATACGATGGTAAGGCCTTTAACACAAAATCCGTATTTCCCAGCTCATGCTTGACGATGTGATTTACGTATGGTATAAGTCGTGCTTTCGATTCACGAAACAGGCTGCAGATAGGGCAACGTACCAACTATGAAGCTTTTTCAACTACAGGGCAGCACTGATAAAGTCAGATGCATATTTTGCTTGAAGGGCCTAATGCAAATAATTGAAGAGTATATATACAATTACATGTTTAATACTTTGAGCAAAACACCAATGTTACGTTCGCATAGCTGCGTCCAGGCGTTTTTAAGTATGTGGCAAAGGCCCAAACATACCCTAACGCTCACATGAGTACACCTAAGTAGGGGAAGCGCTTGCAGCCGTACACAATGCAAATCATTACCAACAACGATTAACGAATGTGTACCTAAAGTCTACTATACCTACCGCACCGTATATGCCGTACCTGCCAAGTGTGTACCTACCGTATATACCGTGCGAACAATACCGATGCGAGAGGAGTAGGCATAATCTGTTCCTCTGAATGCGGAATTCTCGTGTCAAATTGCGTCATTATGGCATTTGAAGTGAACCCATGTCTATGTTTGCAGGTGCGAAGATGACACAGCGCGACTGCGAATGGCTATACTGTCATCGGAGCTGCTGCGGCTTTCGAATGCAGCGACGTTTCATCACGACAGTGGTGGTCCTCCTGACATGTACTGCGCTGTACCTTCGTGAGTATCCGCGTATTTAAATTAACGTTGTCAAATACTTTGTCCCGTAAATGTACAGTCGATCTGGTCCTCCATCTACGTAAAGGGATGCTCACGCATACCTATGTGACAAGGAAAACTGCCAGTTTCAGTCAGAACCAGGATTATATGATGGTCCGTAATCATGCACTCAACTCCAGTGCACTGTAAAACACAACAAATCTAGAGTAAAACATAACGACATTTCTGTTTTTATTTTAATTAGTTTGGTGTGACGCTAATCATAGGTCGCTCAACGCCCAACTGCTTTAACAATGTGATGCAATCAGAGCAAGAATCGCATGCCGATTGTATTTTTGACATGTGCTGGCACTGCGAGCCCGTATACGTGTCCAAGTCCACGCGTGCGGCTCCCGAAATCATATGCCCCTAGATCTCAAGGGTGGGCCCAGGAACCAGCAGCTTCCATGCTCATGGGATAATGATGCTTATCGCATGTTCCACCAGACGTGAAGCGCCTGAACGCGCGAAACCTAACTTAATACCCCAGTATATGTATTACACAGCTTATTGTAGATTAGGGGGCAAGGTAGTATACTGCATGCAACGACAACGTAAGATTTTCCAGGCCCCGAACCGCGGCTGGGAGGAGATAGCTCGTTTGCAGCAGGGTCAAGCTCATGGCTTTTGCGATGACCTTAGTGTATAATCGCCATTTTGAAGGCCTGCCGAAAATTGTTTGATTTTTGAGCAGACCAACTGACTGTGTATTTCAAATTGGTTTTGTTTGAGCACAGGCAGAAAGCCTTGACGTGTGCACGTTTTTTAATGAACATTAGTGACGTTTGGCAACGTATATATGAAAAGACGCCGACACAAATCATAGTTGTCTTGTTGACTGTATCCGCCCTACGGCTCGTTAAGGCAGAGGATTAGTCATCGGAAAGTATATAAACAGACATGACTTGGAAAAACGGCTTTTCACCGTATTTTTCCCACGTTCCCACACCTTGAACAAAATGCATATAAGTACACTGAACCGTTGCTGTTGCATATCTAATTATAGCCTCCAGCGATATGAAACGCATAAATAAACTTGCGTCTCCAATAACCACGTCTCTTAGTCAGTCCCAACCGCGGAACTGTTGATTGCGGTAGCACAGATGTGTTGTGAAATAAAGTTTATAGTTTTCGCTCATATGATCAAAGAAGGCCAAAAAAGGAAACTTATTATGTTTCACTTTACAGTGCTTTCACCACACGGAGTCAGCTTCAGCCCTAGAGTTCCACGGAGGCAGGAAATTGAAATATTATAACTATCTTTTTTGACCTTTTTCAACTGATGAGTAAAGGTCATTTACTATATTCCAATTAATTTAAATTGTGCCCTAAAAACAATGTCCCAGTTACAACCACAGGCACATATCTAATTGTTTCAGGGTGTTGGCACAAGCTACCCAACTTTCTTGTTCATAGAACTTTATCATCTTCAACAGCTCATCGCGCCGAACCAGGCGCTGCAAACACTTTTAATGAGACATTCCCCGTCCCCCACTCCCCCGTCCATGCTCTTGCTGAGCCCGGAGCACAGTGCATGTCTCCAGCCGCACTCGTGCCCGCGGCACATGGTCCGACCATCACCACCACTCCCTCCGGCAGACTTCGTCGCGCCAAACCGCTCGCGCGCGGCGGGGCCGGCTCCCGACGGCTGTGCTGCCGTCTACCGGCTGACGGTGGCACTACAGAGTGAAGGCGAGCCGGCGGCTGTGGCCGCTGATCCGGCGCTGTGCCGCCCGCCGCGGCCGGGCCGGGCGGCGCTCGAGACCTGCCTGCGGCGGCGGCGACGGCGCCAACGGCGGCCCACTTCGGTTCTCCTGCTAGGCGACTCGCGCATGCGCTTCCTCTACCAAAGTCTCGGAGAGGGCTGCAACGTCTCGACGCCGGTGCCCGAGCGCCCCGGAGAGCGGGGGAACACGACGGGGATGGACGAGCGCACGCGGCCGGAGCGCTGGTGTGCCCGCGACCCGCGCTGGTGTCCGCTCAGGGCCGCATCGCCGCTCCTCGCGCTGCGGTTCACGTGGCAGCCGTTCCTCAGCGCCCACGCCGTGCGGACGGTCACGGACACGGCGGTGACGTGCGAGCGCGAGCCAGCCCGCTGTCCGCACCTGGTGTTCCTGGACGCCGGCCTCTGGTACTCGTACGCCATACGGCCCGACCTCGGCGGGCCGGAGTCACAGAGGGCGCTGCTGTTCCGGCAGCAGCTGGAGGACGCTGCGGATGCGATCCGCCGGCTCGCCCGGTGCACGCGGGTCGTGTGGCGACTCGACGAACGCGTCTTGTTCGATTTGTTCGAAAAGGATCGTCAGGGGATACCGCTGCTGCTCGCGCTGCACGCGCTCGTGTACGAGCTCAAGTCTCAGGTGAGCGGCCGATGACCTGCGCGGAGCGGCCGGCAAGCTGCTTAAGTCTCATTGCGAACGAAACTGGAGACCAGGCATGTGCCGCAGTCTCAAAACAGGTGTCAGAATACTGGCTTGGCAATCTTGCATCTCAGGTTCCAATGAGGTCGGGCTGCGCGTCTTGCCCTGATTTAACCAACTATTGCTGCATTCAACCTTTTCGGCATTCCAATGGAAAATGCATAAGCGAGGTGTCTGAATTGTTATGACCAATATCTAACTAGCACTCTTTTTCAATAATCTGGTCAATATTATGTAAAAATGCGAGACACTCTAACTCCGCCATTTTTCTCGACTGAAATGACTCGGTGTTGCGAGGCCCAACGCCAGTCAAATCAAACGGTGCTTCTCGAAAATCTGCGCGCAAACGCCAAATATCACTGCTTCTCTGCCAACTAAGTTGAAGGGAAAGACATATTCTCATATCCTGCTAAGGGATATTTGTTAAAAAACGATGGTCCCCATGAGCCCATGCTCTGACGTCGTCTGCATAGCGATGGCAATCACACCCGTGTCGCTGCGCTCCTCCCACGCCGCTAGAGGCGTCTGGCTGCTTTTATAACTACTCCGTCTCTCAGATGTTATCTAGAGGTTTTCTCAGGTTGCGCATCCTCCGATCATACCAGGAGGGCTGCCATGCCGCGTCTCCGGTAGGCCGCTGCTGACCGACACGTCCCGCCGGGCCGCAGGTACCGTCCCTGACGGTCTGGTCGTCCGGCCTTCCCGTCAGCACGGTGTTCGCGCGCCGGCTGTGCTTCCCCATCCGGGACGCCCCTTGGCCGTGGAGCCCCGAGCACGCCCAGCGCTTCCACGCCGAGTGCGGCGACGCCATCCACGGCAGCGCCAAGATGCGCCGCCGCTACCTGGACACAGTGCTGGCCGACCTGTGCACGGACGACCAGGTGGCAGCACCGGACGATCGGCCGCTGGCAAAGATGGCGCTAGGGGACGACGGCGGCGCCGCGCCGTCGTCAAGGCCATCTGCACCGATGTGCTGCGGTGCGTTTCGCTCCGATGATGCTGAGTTGACTTGATTACAGAGTTGTAAATAATATATGAATAAATAATAACTGAAGCTTGGAATTCCGTGGGAAGCTACTGGAATTGAAGCAAACAAGACAAAGTGCACGGCTTGCCGTGTCGACGTTCTTTGAAATCGATGGGGCGAGTGCGAGTGTGTGAGCATCAGCGAGTATGATGCCCTCACGCAGAAGAGATGAAACGTGCGGATTGTGCTCCACGTTGCATTTCTACAGGCCGCGGCGAACGATTTCTGTCCCTGAGTTATCCCTGCATCTAGATGGCCTTCGGCCTGGTGACTGACCGCTATTACACTGCTGCAATTTTTCTCACCGGTTTTACTCGGGCTCATGCAAGTGGGCCTGCAGCCCGTGATAACTATTCAACAAAATGGCCAAGTCTTTCCGCAAATTACACCGGGTGCGAAAGACAGGGACGATACTTAACGAATGATGGTGGCCGAGCATTCCGCTAGGCTTGACGCACGTGTCAACGTGCCTTGGTTCGGGCACGCGGCGGGAGACGAGCTTGGGGGACTCTCAAATAAGCAGTCACATGGTGCGATGAACAAAAGCGTTGCCTCGATGCTGCCATATTTATATTGAAGCTCAAAAACCACCAAGTGGACAAATACCACGTGGATGCTTCTTCTATAAAGTAAATGGAAATGAAAATGCAAATAAAACTCGAATATCCTAATCATACATGAGGTTATATACATTTCTTGGTGGGGGGGGGGGGGGGGGGGCTACAGATGCACGCACACTGCATGTATTTGTAGCAGCCACAGGAAACTTGGCGACGTTCGTAAAATTTTCCGAAATGAACCCCGTGTACCTTTCATTTGATAAAACTGCTGTCATGCCGTTTTTGCTCTCCTTAGGCGTAGACCGTCTGCAGGTAATTCGGGCTTCAACAAAGCCCCGGCAACCGAAGCAAACGAGGCAACACATGACGCACGGGCAATCCCTCGGCTCAAGCTCAGCCTCGACTTATGGGATGCTAGAAGTTGTTGAAATAACTGGTGGTGACCACGCGTTAGAATCATCCAACATTGGCGAGCGAGTTTTTGGACATTTCATCATTCCTGTACCTTATGTAACTACTAGCCACTGAGCAAGCAAAAGCATTGCATTTGTTTGGTCCTCGTAATTCTTGGCAAACTGGAGTGACGCACGGGAGAAGTATTGGACTAAATGCGATGAATGTTGCCTGGGGCTAGAAGCCCATTCCAACATTCCATCTTTCTGCAGTCGGCTGGTGGGGTATAACTTCTGTCCAGTGAGTAACCCACACTTATTCGACCTTTGTTAGATGCATTAAAATAAACAGAAGGCCAGCTATCCCAAGAGGTTAAACTAGTGGTGTAGTTTCACTACATGTGCATGGGCGGGGGATCACATAACACTGAAAAGCGAAACATCCCACCGCCAAGATAACCAACAAATGGGTTTCTCTCCGGCTTTGATCCAATTTCTCCTCAAAGTCTGTTGCTGGAGTCCGAGTTGCGGCGTCTGAAGCCCTCCACCAAATGAATAGGAAACTTAAATATATATATATATATATATATATATATATAATAATCATGAATAATAAAAAAATAGGAAACACCGGGTTAAAACAGCTAGCGAGAACAAACGTCGGTGGCCGCGAAACCAAACATCAAGAAAAACATTCGTCGAAACGAGGACATTGCCTCACAGAGCGGGCGCATTCGCATGTTCACTAATGCTGTGCGAGCACGGTCTTCTTTGCCAAAGTCAAACTGTGACGAGCATGACTATCATATGCATTTAACGAACAACGTTGGTTGCAGTTCAGCGAATTCTTGACAAACGTGCGTACGTAAGGCAATTGTATCTATCGCAGACGCACACACGGGCATCTCCGTATGCAAATGTTCAGAACCGGTTGTAATGTAGATGTTAGTAAACGCTAATGTGCGCATGCGTAAATCTGATCTCATGCATACGTTCATAAACGCGGTTGCTCGTGACTGCAAATGTTCTCATTGAACTTGCCCGCAAACATTGGTGTTTGTAGTTGTAAATGTTCTTAATGCGATGACTGTAAATTAATGTATTCACGTGAGTGAAAATCTTAGTATTGCAGTTTGTAATAGGACATTTTCGTAGTCGCAGATGTCCGTGGGTGTAAATGTTCGCATCGCAACTCTTTGCACCGCAGTGGTGCGCATATGCTTGTGTTTAAATTGCAGATGTTCGAGAAGCTTAATCTGTTCGCATCGCAGATGCTCGCACGGCGTAATCTATTCGTATGGCCAATGTTCGCCCATGAACACATTTATGCGGTATACTCTCACAACGCAAAAAATAAAATGTGTATCAAAATTGACGCAAAATCTTGTGAGCTAAGGACGTGCGGACCCCTGGTAGTCCTCATATGCTGCATGAATGACAATATCATTGTGAGCTTGTGACTGGCTATGCATGAAGTTATACAGGGCCAACTGACTTGCGAGGGCGTACAGGTTGTCTCGGCCTGGCAAGGCTTTGGCAACACGAAATCTAAGCATGTAATTAGAGACTGTGCCTATCTGTCTATCAGGTGGGTGCACATTATATTTTCGTCAGCGAAATTCAATATTCGTTCGCTATTCGCGTTTATGAGCATTTACGGTTCCAACGACTGCGCTGCGTACATTAGTATCGACCAACAACAGCGGTAAGAATATTCGTACTTACAAACATCTGTGATTACGAACCTCGGCGAAAGGGACATGTTACCGGACGTGCATTGGTCACTACGAACATCTGCGATGGGAATGGCTGCAACTAGTTCATAAGCGGTTGCGAACGTATCCGCTTGCGGACATCTACGCTTGTGCGTTTTCCCGCGAACCTGTGCCTTTTGTACATCTTCTGCACGTGCATTTGTCCTGCTTGCCAAGTCAAGCGCCTCTTGGCGAGAAGGTAATGTAAAACGGTAGGCGAAAAAGGGCAGTTCGTTTGCTCGGATTCGGGGAATTGTCTTTGGCTAGCCCAACGGTGGTATACACGCGGCAAGTGGCGTGCGCGAGCGGCCCTAGCTGACCAGCATTGGTCAGCTGGACCAGTCCCATCAAACACAGTGGTGGTGTGCGCAGGAGCAGATCCGGGGGGGGGGGGGGGGGGCGCGGGACCATGCCCACTTGGGTGCCCGAAGGATCCCATAGGGTCCGAAGAGACCCGGTAGCCGGCCGGACAGACGAAGGTTTTTTAAAGGTGTTTCACGTTGCCCTTGATTTCGTTACATTTGCTCGGAGGGCCCGCGCTATTGTCAGGGCCCTTTCTGCTGTCATGCCGGGGCACTTTCGTCAATCAGAGGCCTTCCACGGATTCTTCCCGTCGTCCAAAAGGCTCTGTACGGCATAGCTGGTGCCCCACATGCTAAACGGCCGGGGTATTCTAGGCTGCTCACGGGCCCTTCTCGTTGGTTTCTGTTAATCTACCGATACACTCGCGATATGTTCATGAGTCCTCTACATTGGTCTAGCGCCCTTCACGTCGTCTGCCACTTGCGGAGTGCTATACGCTCTCGGTCGGGAAGCCTATTTGTTAGCCCTGCTCGCACACCCTCGATCATTCGGAGGCCCTCCAAGTTGGGTCTCTTTACGAAATCCTGGATCCACCCCTGGGCGCTGTCCCTGGCTCCAGCCTCATCAGCTGATTCTACCCCTGCGTTTCGAGCCCGGGCCGCTGCCAGCTGACTCGCGCCATCGTCGGCCAAGCCGCGCCCCTGGCGGCAGCCGGCGGAGTTATAGCACGGCAGCCGATCGCTCCGCCAGTCGATTTCTGTCCGCCGCGCCGGGTGGGGCCCACGCGCCGCCGCTCCGTCACTGCCCGCACTTGTGGCCCCATCGGCCCGACGTCGCCGACCGCCTGCTTACACGGGTAAGATCGCCTCGACCGACAGGCCCTGCGTCGTGTGCGGGGACGGCTGGTGCCTGAGCTTTGGCGGACACGGCGATCTGGGGTGGGGCGGGGCAGGGTAATTGGGGCGAGGCCGCGCTGCCGTGCCTTCCCGCCCTGCCGTGTCTCCGCGGCCCGTCGCTGGGCCGCAGTACCGGCTCGTCGTCTCGCCTCGCCTCGTCTCGTCCGCGCTCCGCTGGTCTTCGTCCCGTCCCCGAGCCGCCGACTGCGCTCCGCAAGCCGCGATGAGGTACGGGACCACCTGGCGCGGCGCCACCAGCAGCCGGGGCCGGCGGCCCCACGCACATTCCTCCCGCGCCGCACACCACGGCGCTTCCGGTTCGGCCAGACGGCCGGGTGGGCGGGCGGAGCAGCCGCCTGCGGGGCAGAACGGCACGAAACGCACTCGGCACTCGCCATTGGCACGGCAGAATACAGCCACGTGCACTTGACGTGTTTGTTTTTCCAGCTGAGGCAGAGAGCGAACGGTTCTCTGGGGGTGCGCTATTCTTCAGTCATGAGTCATGTCTGTCCGGAGAAGTTAGCACGATTCTCAGAAAGAATGGTCGCTGTATGAATGAGTTTTGCGGATTCATCAGCCGGAAAGCGTAGGTGATGCCATGTGGTGGGACCATCGTAACATTTCTAGAAATAACACCTACAGAACAGCCTGGGATATCAAGTGATGAAAAAGTAGCCTGCCCGTTGCGTGTCGCTGTGTAAGGGTTATGGAAGTGGACCTATCTTGTGGGCTTGTAAGGCTAGAGTGTTCCGCAATTGTGTGAACCATCCTGAAAATCATTCAGTACAGTTCACAGCACTTCCTTTCCTAAGGCCTAAGCCCCTCTAGTTTCTGAGCTACATGCCCGAAGAGGTGTGCGGACTTTTTCGCGCATGCTATTTCGAGGTCACCCAGGTATCCATGACGCCATAATGCCGCCATTCAAATCCTGCCGTTTCATTGGACATGCAGCGATTAAGGCCAAGTGTAATCGTCGAGTCGTTCATATCTGGCGTTCGTGAGCAGATTTCCAGATATATCACCGTCAAACGGCTCCCGACCAATATTGCGCAAATTACGGGGACACAATGCAAACAATGACATCTTGGTCACACTTATTGATAGAGAAATTGTGTTCTCTAAAACAGTCT